AGGATGAGGATCATGAATGAAAGATGAAGAAAATCTAGGTCTCAGAGTAAGTGAAGAAGAAAATCAATCCAGGAAACTGCAGAACTGCGCAGCCGTGGCAGGATATGCACCGAGAACTCAAACACATGGCTGCATTCACGCTGTGAGGCTGCAGCGGAATACATCGGTCATGTCTAGGAAGGCATGAATAACTGCTTTCTTTGTGAGGACAAGGTACAAGGGAACTCATTACAAAGTTTCCGACTCAGCTCTATTATATTCTAAATATACTCTGAACTAGCGTGCTGTGTCCCAGCCGGTCCTCCCTGCTTGTTCTGTCAGACTGCTGCTGAAGGATCCTAAAAACCTAGAGACTACATTAGCTCACAGTTGCCACAGCATAACTTTGTAATGCTAGAGATCATTTTCTTTATAGCTTCATGCTGGATCCTCTTCAGAGGTGGCCTCATATACCTTCCTTCTGATATGCTGACATTCAACAGGCACATTTGATTGCATCACCCCCTTTCACAATCACACTTTGTTTTTATAACTTTGCTACTACCCTGCCTGAATTCAGGGCCACCAATTTGGAGAGTGAAATAACTGCTCACAGTGGGTCGACACTTGACTTGAGAGGCTAGCACAGTGAAAAGTTTAAAGTACAGTCACCATAACTATACAAACACCTGTTTGGCAAGAGGTTGCTTCTGTGAGTCAGTGCAGGTGTAAAGATTTTATTACTCATGATCACACCTGTTGGTACACATGTGCCAAAAATCGGGAATAGCTAGATGGAGGAAGAAAAATAAGAAGTTATAGGGCACACTTCGCTCTCAGAGCAATACAAATCCAAAGTAACTTCAGTAAGCTCATCTAAATTATTTTAAACTAACATTAGTACAAACGAGTGCAGAATTTGGCAAAGCACAACAAAATACTGTTCAAAATCTCTTGCGAAAACCTCATAGAAAGTTACTTCTTTCTAGAAAGTTATATACTATATATTGAATATATTAGATACATCTATGTATGAAACGTGCACAGGGGATATAAGCAATTGTGTGGATGCCCTGACATACAAGGGACAGGAACAACTGTAGCTGGATTTAAATTATGCTTTCACCCCCAGCTTTTAAAGGGACTCACAAAATCCAGATGTTATTTCACACATACACATGTGTAAAATATCACAATTTATCCCCATAGATTCAGCTAAGCTCGGAGATCAGCAGGTTTTTCTCACTTTCTTTATGCATCGGTCCTACTCCCCAAGGAAATCTTGGCAACCCTGCAAAGTACCTCTTAATTTTTAATACAACCACCGCATTCTTGAGGTAACAGCAATGACTGGGATAAAACTGAATTCATTGAATTTACATCTGCTGAAATGCTTCCACATGCATTAATTAGGGCTTAATTAGGCTAAATTAAGATCCCGTTGCATTGCTTGAATAATATAGGGACACTATAATAGAGTATCTCTGTGTCATCCAGAACAGGAGCCCCAGAAGCAAAGATACTGAGATGTAAAATTAGGAAGAGCTCACAACACAACTCATCTCCCAAGGAGGGCCAACTGTCAACGCAAGCTGCATAGCAACAGTCACTCCAGATGATCTGCAAAATATGCCGGAAATGTTTCTTTACTGTAAAGGACAATGTACTTACGTTGGCTCTTCTGAGACTGTTCTGGTCTCTTCCATTTCATGTGCCTGTTTAAACCACGGCAATTTTGCTTCCACAGGATTTTTTTCTGGTAGAGAAAAAAAACCCCAACAACATTCAATGATTCCTCCAGAATCAAAGCAACATGTAGATGTTAGCAGTATTCACCTTATAAAGCCCTTCACACTTTACGTTGCCTATTGATCTAATGCTTTTGAATAAAAATATGCAGACAAGATGACATATTTTACTACAAAATTTCTTTATGATGTTTGAGGTCCATTCTGACGCCCCTTTTTACTGAGAGGGTACCAGTAATCTAATTTCCATTCCTGTTTAATCTTTTACTTCTTTCCCACATGTCCCCCAAATACAGGCAGTTTCTAGTAGATTGTAGCTTCTATCTCAGTGTAATGGATTATTGTCATAAATTCCGTTTATAGCTGAAAAAGAAGCCAGAGGAGAGCAAATTTACATTGCTCTGCAGCTAGACTGGCTGCATTAGAAAATTTTCACAGAAAATGTTGTTTGTTTGGGGTTTTTTTTTTGAGTTAGCCAACTTTCCTAAAATTGGAAATTAATTTAAAAAACAACACTAGCTTCTTTTATCTTTCTATATGTCCTACGTGTCTGTTATGCTTTTTCTTGAAGTACCGTAAGCCAGTTGAGGATCTGTGCCTCCAAGCTTCAGTAAAACCCCAGAAGAAAGTTCTTAAAATTTCAGTGCTAGTTTCTACTTCATAGTTTAACCCTGAATAGCTTTCGGCTTGAAGAATTCTCTAGCTCCCTGAGGAGAAACATAGGGTTGTCTACAGATAGCTTTCACTTTTTCTGTGTAAATCTTTATGGTGAGTTGCGATGGTGTGAAACACAACCTTTCAAATAAAAACTGAAAGAATGGGAGTAGTGCCCACTAAAATTTTCTGGGCCCAGAGGGACAGAAATGAGCAAGGGACAAGATATACTAGTTTTCCCCCAACTTTGTTTTTTCTTTTTACCTTCCCACCTACTCTTTTTTTTGGTTTTATGCCTTAGCGACCCTTTTAGAGAATACTTGTCAATTTACATCATTGTTACAGACCTTTTAAACATGCAGAAAAGGAGAAGAATGAAGGAAACCAGTTTGATAACTTAATGAACTGATGAGGCCCACTGAGAATATTGACACATTTAACGAGACGTAAACAAATGAGATCCCAAGTGATATATATGGAGTATGATTCCCATTTCAAGTATTATTGAACAACTCCTCCTCCCCATGTTGAACTCATTAATTCTGCTTTTCCCAGTTTGATCAGGCTGTATAGATTTAGTTAGCGTGTTCACCTCATGACAGTCTGGCCACACTATCAGCAAAGAATAGCAGCAGGGCATTTTTCCTAGCACCAATAATTAAAATGCTTGTTTCTGCCAAGTCTGAAATAAGTCCTAGTAAATTCCAGCTTCTGGCATTTCTAAAAAAGGTTACCAGGGGCTTTTAATTCTCTTAACAAAAACGTAAAACCATAACAGACCCAGACAAAATTCCAGTTACCTTTTGGCTTGTAACATGGTATTGGCACGATGCACTCTTCTTTTATGTGCAGTTTAAGTTGTGGATTACAGCCACCGACATGTTGCCCACGGTGGTCAATACACAGCACGACGCGGTAACGCAAGCCTCGGCCACAGGTCACTGTGCACTGCAGGGGACAACGCAACCGTCTCACGCTGTTTCTTTTTTATTGTATTTACAAATACTGTTAAAAGGGAAGTCAGAAGTACTGATGATGTGTTCACTAAAGTTTTTCCACGATCAACCAGGTATCAGAGACGTGTGACTTGTCCCTGCACTGCTAGGTGAATAAAGAAAAGGCTGATGCTGGAAAAAACAGAAAAAAGCCTTGGGAGCGCAAGTGATTTCTCGGCATT